TGTTCTACAACACGGAAATACTCCTACAAATGAAAAGGTTTTTGCACATTTGCAACCTCACACCACTTACCAGTGCAGCCGACCTCTCTTGATGCAGTCCTCCAGTTCCTCCTCCATCTCTTCTGGCATGGCCTTTCTCATTCCACACTGAAAGTTTATATGGCAGCTATAGTGGTGCATCAGCCGCCCTCTTCAGAAGTGGCAGCTTTGTTCTGCCATACCACTCTCAAACAGTTCCTGCGTGGCTTAAAGAACATGTGCCCGGCTTACAAGCATCCTACTCCACAGTGATCCCTTCAGCTCATCATCAATTGCCTCATGAGGCCTCTGTTTGAACCTTTGGCTACCGCCATCTGAACGACTGCTCACCCTGAAGACTACCTTCCTTCTTGCTATTATCTCTGCACGTCGGGCAGGAGAGCTGGCTGCTCTTAGAATGGACCCTTCTTTTCTTCAGTTCCACCTGGATAAGGTGGTACTCTATCCGGACCTTTCCTTTGTACCTAAGCTGGCCACCTATTTTCATTTGGACCAGCGTATTGTTCTCCCTACATTTTTCCCTGCACCGACTTCATGTCTTGAGCGTTCTGTGCATTCCCTGGATGCCAAGTGGGCCCTATCCTACTACGTCTCTTGCTCCACAGCCTTCCACATTTTGAATAGGCTGTTTGTCAGCTATCAAGGTCAGTCTAGAGGAGCACCAATCACATCTCAGATGATCTCTCGGTGTATTGTTTTGACTATCCAACTGGCATATGAACCAGCCTGCATGCCCCTGTTGTGCACCATGAAGGGCCACTCAAGCAAGGCTGTGGCTTTCTCCACAGCATTCCTCAGAGGGGTGAACCTCTCTGATATCTATAAGGCGGCTACGTGGGCTACACCATTTACTTTTGTGTCCCATTATCGGCTGGACGTCCAAGCCAAAGTGGAAGCTGCTGTGGGTCATGCTGTTCTGGCCTCTGTGCTCTCATGACATCCCTCCTCCATGTAAGTCAGTTTGCTAGTCACCCATTAGTGTGCATTCACAGAGACCACAAAGAAGAAAAAGAGGTTACTTACCTGTAACTCTGGTTCTTTGTTATCTGTGAATTCACACCTCTTGCTTATCCTCCCCGCTGTCTGTCATGTAAGCTTTTTGCATGCTGGGCAGCAGCAGGCTGTTCTACAGAACTGAAGCATTTTTAAGGGTTTTAAGGGGTTAAGGGTAGCATGTTGGAGGTCCCGGCACCATGTGCTTAAGCTCTGCGCAGATGTAGTAAACCCATTAGTAGAATTCATAGATGACCACTCGAAGAACCAGGGTTACAGGCAAGTAACCTCTTTTTTGAATTGCATGATGCAGCTCCTCCAACAGGAATCTAACCACTATGTCACAACCAGAAGGCCAGACCAAGTTTCACACATAACAAACCACCACCACAAGGGGTTTGGAATTTGAGGAGGTAATTCAGGTAAAACACAATCAAGTCTCTGATTCAGTTACCCATATATATGAAAAAACCATTCTGCTTCATTCTAAGGCAAATTTTGCAGACAAAAATTCCCATACATACTGTAGTTTTACAAGTGTCCATCAGCTTTTAATACATTGTGGGTCTTTATTGGGGGGAGCAGCAGGCCCCTCACACAATACCTGACCCAGGCCCCATCAATCCTCTGGATGGCATTGCAAGTTGACCAAAAGATGCACAAAAAGCACTTGTGCCCTTGAGTGCATTCTGCCTTATGGTGACCCTTTTCAGGGTTTTCCAAATAAAGAATACGCAGAAGTAGTTTACCATTCTCTTCTGGGAGTGCCCTGAGACTGTGCAGCTTGCCCATGGCCACAGGCTGCCTCCACTCACAGGAAGCAGAGTAGGGAATCAAACTTTCAACCTCTACCTAAAGCATTGAGCTATCCAGCTGGAACATTTAGTCTGGAGTCCTTTTTATCCTAGAGCCAGCTCTGGTGTACATGCCATCACCAGAAATATGGAAATACAGATCTTGTCACTAAATAATGATAATATACTTGTAGTAGAGAGGCAAGTAACTCTTTTAAAACATCTCCTTGCTCCTTGGCAAACACATTGTTTAAGCTTAATTAACACCACTGTGGTTATGTTGAAGAGATGGCATCTCTCAGTGGAAAAGCTCTGGGGGTTAACTACTTTCACAGTAAAAATCAAATGATCTGGGGGTTTCTTAATTCTAGATTAATAGGTTAGGTATAGAGTTTCAAAACATCATTTATATTTAATATGTGGGGGTTAAGTCTGAATTGTTTTTTCTATTAAAATCTCATTATGCTTGTAAATAAGTAAATCTTGCTTATAAGATTGAGTACCACTTGTGGCACTGTTCTTTAGGAGCTCATATTTAAAACATTAGATTTGATAAGAACTGATAACTGGAGTTGACAAGGCCTTATATTTCAGTTAAAAGGCACAATACTCATCCACATCAAAGCAGACAGTCTAGACACTTATTAATGTGATAGATTTGAGACTTAAAGACAAGCAGTGATGGAGAAGAGCAATTGCTTTCTGTCATAGAAGTGGAATCCTTTCCTTTAAAATGGATGATTGAAGAAGCTGGGATTGCCATCCAAAATACTGAAGTGGACTGTGAACAGGCAAACCTGAAAACTGCTTTTCAAAACGCTTTTCCTTCTCTTGTTGCCAGGGGAATTTATGAGCAGGAACGTGGACCTCACTGCTCAAGAGATTGTGTTAGCTCCTGAAAAAATTACATAAATGTCCATCAGATCTTTGCAAAATGGAAAAGAGATGGTTTTATTTACTCTCCTTATTTGCCCATTACTGGATAAAATCCTGAATTAAATAAATATACAGTAAGTGAACTGAGGCAATCCAGGCAACCTCTTCTGCAAGTCTGTTTTCAGCAACTCCAAAAAGCTGAAACTACTGGTCCGTAAAAGGGACCAGATTGTTTCGTTGGCTGTCAGATCTGCTGTAGGAAAAGTGGCAAAGCAAGCAAGCTGCCATGAGGCTTTCCTTCCATGCAAAGAAGTTACTTGATCTATGTACAGTGGTGCCCTGCTTGAAGATTACCCCGCTTGACGGCGAATCTGCTTTATGATGAGTTTTTTGCGATTGCTACTGCGATCGCAAAACAATGATTCAAAGGTTTTTTTCGCTTAACGATGATCGGTTCCCTGCTTTGGGAACTGATTTTTTGCTTAACGATGGTTTTAAAACAGCTGATTGGCGGGTCGCAAAATGGCTCCCCGCTGTGCAAAATGGCTCCCCACTGTGTTTAGGGCGGATTCCTCACTTTACAGGCACCGGAAAATGGCCGCTCTATGGAGGATCTTCGCTGGACGATGAGGTATTTCCCGCATTAGAACGCATTAACTGGTTTTTAATGCATTTTAATGGGTTTTTTGCTTTCACTTGACGACGATTTCGCTCTACAGTGATTTCGCTGGAACGAAGTATCATCGTCAAGCGGGACACCACTGTATAGTCTTCACATCTTCCAACTACTGAAATCAATTGAGAAGTTATAATCAGGAGTGACATCAGTAGATCAAACCTCATCTTTATTCTGCAAATAATTTCATTATGGAAGGATAGGAGAAAAAGTGAAGGTGAAATCATGCAAGTTCCACAAAGCAGAAACAGCCATTAATTAGTACTGGTCTTTACTTACTGAAAAATTTAACACAGAATGTTAAAGCTCTGTACCAAAGCTGCAGCCATCCATGTTTGGGTCTCCAGTGGATTTTTTTTTTACTTCAACCCCAGAAGCCCCAGCCAGCCAGTATGGCTAATGATAAAGGATTCTGGGAATGTGTGTGTGTTTTAAATAGATGCCAGATCCTCTTGGATTTCTCTGCATATGCAGTTTTTGAAAGTGGTTTTACGCTCTGCAGACGCTTTGCCATGCAACTGGTCACAAGACCAAAAGTCCATCTAGGACACAACCGCATGCGACAAAACAGCACATAACACTTTATGGTGGCTTTTCTGTGCTGGGTGTATCCAAGAGGATTCTCACTGTGTTTTATCTATACTTCAGCTTTCTCCCAAAATTGAAATATAAGATGGCTCACATCCAGATAAATATAAAAACAGATGGAAAAAAGATTAAAGAAACGTGTGCATGGAAAAATATACAAAATACCATCAAGTTTTAAAAAAACAATCAAACCAACTATATTATTAAAACACTGTAGGATGATCAGAAGCACTACGGGAACAACCAAGAGACTACTGTATATAAAACAAAGCTGGGAACTAATATATTCTTGGGCCCAGAAGAAGACAGGAGTGTAGGGCAAAGTTTATGATATATGTATATCTACTGAGTATATACTGGAAACCAAACCAGGGACAGTAGAGGGGTTAACGAGGCTGGAGTATCTGACTCCAAAGGGGGGAGGGTTTAGTTTAAATTGAGGGGTTAGTTAGTTTTATTTTCTTTTTCCTTTATACTTGGTCTGTTGCTTTTCTTTCTTCTTTTCTTCTGTGAACAACAACAACAACAACAACAACAACAACACGGCCAAAGAGCCCGAAAAACCACCACCACCACCAACAAAAAAACACTGTAGGATGAAAAGCAGCTTTAAAACAAATTAAAAAATACACAATGTTGATACATTAAAAGCCATTTTCTCAACTCTTTTTTTATTTTTATTTTTACGATAAAAAATAATTCTCAACTATCTTTTAATTTTAATATAAGTCCACAGTGCCTTTCATGCAGGAAAAAAAGCATGTACATGCCCTTAGTGGAGGAAGAAAATATGAGTCTTAGGACAAGACTGGCTTGGAATGGTGGCAATTATTTTAAAGACATTTCATATGCAGTAAAATGGCTTAATCTGATTTGCTATTTTGGTGCACAGAAAATGTGTGTCTTGCAAAACAACCAACTATGTTTTCTCTGAAAACAGATTTGGAAGTCTAGAATATATCCAATACCACAAGTTCACCCACAAACGCTCATGAAGGAGGTCGGGAGATTAACTATGCAAACTCATGAGTGTCTATTCAGAGATATGCCCAATCAAGTTTAATGACATTGATTTTCAAGTTAACATGCCGATGGAATGGCAGAATGAATCAACATAACAAAACTAAGTGGGGTAGGAGATACAAAAAATTATCTTTGAATCACTGGCTCAAATTCACAAATTTGTGAAACAGTCTTTTTTTTGTAACTAAGCAAATAACTGTGATTTTTTAAAACAGAGTAAAATATATTTGTCCATGTTGTTTTACAGAAGAAGAAAAGAGACAAACAGAGCAGCACATCTGTTCTATAATATGATTAAGGAAAGTTGTCCCAGTGCTACAGACATACTAATGTTATTTGTTTGACAGATTCTGTCATTTAAAGAACTACTTTGAAAGGTTGTTGACTAGCTGTGTCATCTTTTCTCTGCTTGGAATTCTTCAGGCTCTCTTCAGTTTACAACTTACAATGAGCTACTGTCTTTACAGTTTCAGAGTGCTAGAAAAAACAACCAAGTGTCCACGGATGTGTGCGACAGGCTGATGATGTCAGAGTTTACTTCTCAGGGGGTTTTCTGCTTTGAGCCTTCAGATCAACATTCATGATGGAAAAGCTGCCTGTCCTCCAGAATGTTAGTAGCTAAGCAAATGTAATAGAGGGCTCAGTGAACTGGAAAATGTCCTCGTCGTACAGTTCCTCAGGCAGCTCTTCACCATCAGCAAAGTATGTTGGGAACGGTGGGTTCTTATTTGCTTCTTTGCCTGTTGGTAAGCGTGTATCACTGACCTAGAATAAAATAAGAGCAAGATGGACTGATGTTTAAAAAAAGTAGAACAGAAAAATCTCACACATTTGAAACACAAAATTATTGTTAAACTAGGCACTGGCTGAGGTAACGGGCATTTAAATTATTTTTGCTTTCATCTGTTTTACAAGTTACTCTTAATAAGTAATAACACTTATTAATTATTATTAGAAATAGGCATGCATTAAAAACAAATTACCAAATTCATTCAAAAATCACTCATTTGTTAAACCTTATTTGTATGAATCAAAAATCCCCAACAAATACAAATCAATGAATTTTTATTCATCAATTTGTTCGGCTATAAAATGCCCCCACCAGCACCTAGAGACACAAAAATTGCAGGGAAGCTTCCTCTAACTCAACTCTACAATCCCTCCAAGTTTGGTGAAGACTTGGTTTTAGATGTCTAAGTTATAAATCCAAAAGGGCCAGGAAAGTTCCGCCAGCCACCTAGAGACACTTCTACTGACTCTTCTCTACAATCCCTCCAAGTCTGGTGAAAACTGGGTTTCCCCAAAGGTAAAGGTAAAGGTTCCCATTGACAATTTTTGTCCAGTCCTCTTTGACTCTAGGGGGCAGTGCTCATCCCCGTTTCCAAGCCATAGAGCCAGCATTTGTCCGAAGACAATCTTCCGTGGTCACATGGCCAGTGTCACTTAGACACGGAACACTGTTACCTTCCCACCAAGGTGGTCCCTATTTATCTACTTGCATTTGCATGCTTTTGAACCGCTAGGTTGGCGGGAGCTGGGACTCCGTCGCGTGGATTTGATCTTATAGCTGAAGATCTACAGACCTTACAGGACAGAGGCTTCTGCGGTTTACCCCGCAGCACCACCACGTCCCCAAGCCAGCTGCTAAAGAGCTGTGGGGACCCACTTCGTAGGTGTAGAGCCAGCTGCTAAAGAGCACTTTCCTGTGGGGACCCACTTCGTGGGTGTAAAACTTGGATGTCTGAAAGCCAGTCTTCACCAAACTTGGAGGTATTGTAGGGGAGAGTAAGTTAAAAGCTGCGCACACGCACACGCACGCACACACACACACAAAAGGCTGTTTGCCACTGTCAGCATTCCTGTCAAATAAGAACATCAGTACCTTGGTAGATCACTATCAGCAAAAAGTTCACCTCACAATTAAGTAAAGCTCCAGGCTGCATCTGCACTTTTATACCACACTTACAGAACTTAATCTAACAGACTACAGCAAAATTTATTAAATTTCTTCTAACACATCTGAAGAGCAAGAAAAAACACTATTTCTTTCCAATGGGTGAAAAATGAAGATATATTGCTTCAGGAAAAAATGTTTTGGACAATGAAAGGGCTATGGAGACCAAACATTGGAATTTTTTTCCTACAGTAATTTGTTCTTGGTTAGTTCCTCTGAGAAGAGTTCCTGGTTCTGTTACAACTTTTTACATAGTGTATGATACTAGAGTTTTTTGTTTTTTTTTAAACCCTCCTCCAGATAACTCTCATGTGCTTCCAGATACAGGCATACCTCGGTTTACGTAATTTTCGGTTTACAAACTGAAATCCGTAAGAAATAATGCCTCGGTTTACGTTTTTTTACAGAGGGGTTCGGTTTACAAACTGAAATCTGTAAGAAAGAATGCCTTGGTTTACGTTTTTTTACAGGGGGGTCATTGTACGAAAAGGACGCATCGCACCTGGAGGTTTCTAGCGCCGCCCCCATTGCTATGGCAATCCGTGTTCCGGTTTACATAATTTCCACATTACGTAACATCCCGTATGACGAATTAATTTCATAAACCGAAGTACTACTGTATATAATTTTCAGTCTTACTGCTTATATTAATGTTTTAAGTTTGTTAGCTTGGATTCATTGTTTAAGAGCAGTGTATTTCATAAGTTTAAAAGGAAAAGAAAAAGATCATGGCCTAATTATGTTCTGAGGACAGCTAACATCATATCCACCATGGCTTTCTGTCCAATTAGGTTTCAATAGCCAGAGGGATCATATTCCACAGGAACTGAAGCATTTCTAAAGCATGTTTCCTATTTGATGGGCTCAGGTGGAATTCTTCTGAACATACATAAGGGAAATTGTAGCCTTTAGTAAAAATGAAAAGTAAACAGCAAACCACAGAGCAGGCATAAGATGGCACAAAATTATGCTCATTATTTTATTCATCTATAATTTATTCCCCCAAAAGGATTTTATAGTCCTTTTTCAGAACGTTTTCAGCTTTGCTATACCCATGTTATTTTGCTTCACATACTTTGACTCCAGGAGCTTAAAAGATTAAATTGAGTAGACAATGAACATGGACAAGGAAAATGTTACTTTATTTATAATTCTGAAAAAAATGAAGCAAATGCTTCTTAAGTGAAACAACATGCTGTGTGTCTGAGTGCAAAATTATACACTAATTACATCAGAAATACATCCATGTCCAATTAGAAAAGACTTTGCACTGTTAGGATTTCAGAAAGGCCTTAATACTATTCATTTAGATTATTTCAAGCCTACTGGGAAATATGTTTTCTATAAATGTCCGTCTGCCAAGGTGTACAATGGCTTAATGGTTGCCAAGCAACCAATGAAGAGGGCACCAGTGCACTGTAGCTGTGCTTTTTAAAATGTATACAAGAAAGCAGCAACATATCCAATTATATTGTTTAAAAAGGCAGCAGAATGAGACACTTGAACAAAAAAAGATATCCAAAAAAAGTATCAGTCCAAGTACCTATTTGGCAAAGATCCGGTCTCTCTATGGATATGATTCATACAAAGAGACAAATTAAGTACTACATTAAGACAAATTGGCATAAAATTTGAAGCACAAATAAATTGTTTAATAGAAAAATTTAAGGCATTGCGCTTTGCCATTGAAAATGTGTGGCTAACCCATGGGGAGCTTCTAGCTCTCCTGATGCTGTTTTCCTGTAGATCCTATTAGCCCACTCTACTGGTGAGGCAGCTAGAACTAGTGGGAGTTGCAGTCCGACTACCTTTGGATGGTCATACAGTTCCAAACCATGCCTTATGGAACTTTTGTGCTTATATGGTCCCCAGCCCTGAGGCGAAACTTCTGACCACATAAGATAAAGCAACTTCTGTCCTGGCACCACAGTCAAGGAATGTCCTCCATCAGACATACTCACCTTGTTCCCTTGCAAGGATGTTGGTAAGTCATGAGACCCAAGTCTCAGGTCCCAGTCTTTGGTCCCAAGTCCCAAGTCAGAGTTGCAAATCGCTTGCCCCACCCTCCGAGGCTTGGGACTGAGGACTTGGTACCAAAGACTTGGGCCTCCCACCCTGTTCATCCCCACTGCCATCGGCCTACCTGCTGCTGTTTGGGAGCCAGGCCACTGCCTCCCCCTATACAGGTGCTGATGCAGGCAGGCCCTCTCAAGCAGGAGGAAGGCGTGCGCGGGGGGGCTTTTATAGTGATGCTCTCTAGCCTGCTTTACTCCGAGGGCAGATCCTCCAGCCCGTTTCTTCCTGTACGTTGCCCTGGTAACGACCTGTGGCAGGCCAGAGTGCCACTAGGGCAAATTGCAGGAAGGGGCAGGCCAGAGGACCTGCCCTCTGACTACGGCAGACTAGAGCATCACTGTGAAAGGTCCTCTGATGTGCTGCCTTTGGAGATGGAGGCAGTGGCAGCAGGGTTGGCCAGTGTGGGGGCATAGGGACTTGGCAATATGACTCGGACAAATGGATCCGAGTCACAAGTCAAGTTGCAAGTTGCCTCAGTAATCCCCAATTTGAGTCTGAGTCAAGTCACAGGTGTGACTTAAGTCTGATGTGACAGCAAGTCACGACTCCCCATCCCTGCTCCCTTGCATCCCTGTTTCAGAAAGGTTGTAAAAATGCTTCAATTTCAAGATTTTCTTGAAACTGCAATTTCTACTATTTCGATACTCTGGTTTTACTTTACATTATTGATACTGTAAAGAAAACAATAAAAGTCATTTCGCAAATGCTTCTATGATAATATGTTTATTAATTTTTAAAATACAATCACGTGCCTACCTCTATGGAAACTGATATTTTTAAGTTTCTGTCTGCACTGTCTCTTCCTGTATGGTCTATCTATGCCACAAAAGATTATGCTACAACGTGTTTGTTGATCTTTCTAATGCCACAGCTACCTCTCTGAAAACTGCTATTTTAATGTTTTTCACTGTGCTATGACTGTCTACCATTATCTGCAAACTATTCCCACTGGGTCCAATCTAATAAGAGTTTATTTATTAAAGTTAAGCTCATTCCATGTTCTGGGTTACAAACTGCACATATGGTGGGATGTGATGTTAGACCAATCATCCTTCATTGGTCTAACATCACATGTGCAAGACTGCATGAACTATACAGAAAGAAGCTACCAAACAGGTAGTATTTGCATGATTTGTCCACTATAACAAAGAGATGAGTAAATCATCCAATGGGCTTTTATGCAGACAAATCAGGGTACACAAACGCAACCTTTCTTGCTGGATATACTACCCCATTGATCAGACACTGAATGAATCAGACTAAACCCACTACTGCATAAAAATATGGAGGAAATGCAATTCTACACTCCATGGGATATATCTGATAGTTGAAACAGATTTTATAACAAGTAGAGACTGTCATCTATAATGTTGAAAGAGATGTCTAAGAAGATGTCTAAGTCTTTGTTAAGTTCTTTTCCTGCAGTCCGATTTCACCGACTGTGCAACATGACCTGGCTCAGCATTTTCCTAGTTTCCTGTGTTTGTAGTTTTGCTGACTGAAGCTCTATTGTGTCAAGGACTCCTCAAACATGGTAGTCCAATTTCTATGCCAGGGACCCTCCAGAAAAGAACGGGCACGGGAACAGCATGCAACCTAATTGGAAGTGACAGCTTGGTACAGAGAGCACAGAAGATCAAGGGCTAAGTTGAATAAACAACTTCTTGATTCTACTGCTTTCTCTTCTATACAGAGAACTGAACTTGTTGAAAGTCCTTGGCTTGTACATCTATCAGTACTGCAAGGAAAGGAGATTTTGGTCCCTGGCACCAGTCAAAGGAGCCAAGGGGCACTTTGAGTTCACCTAGGAAGGTCACTCTGTGGGAATGGAGAATAGCTTGGCCCAAACCATCAGCAACAGAACAAGTTACTCCAGGGAGACTGTTTCCTCATTCAAGCCAGCAAGAACTCCTTTATCTTGTAACTACTGGGTCATCAGTTGTTTATTCTTGCCAAACCCCCCAAATCAGATTAAACAAACAAACAAAACCCCAAACAGACTAACTACAAAGCGCACAAATGGCACATCCTTATTTCTCATGTCCCATTTTTGTCTTTTCTTTGCTTGTAAGCTTGCAGATGGGGCCTGTGAATCATTCTCACTTTATGGACAATGTGTCAGTTGTATTTTGTATTTTACCTGACATATATTGCTTTGAGAGAGTATATAAACTGGATTGTGGGATAAAATTTAATATCTGAAATTGACAGAAAACACAAATATTACAAAGTAAAGTTGTTGGCAGACTATAAACAAGCTGCATGATTAGGGAACATCTCCAGAGAGAGAGAGAGAGAGAAAAATCTCTGCAAAAAAAAGGGTCAGCCAGTGGCTGGAGCAGACATATGCAGGCAAAGACAAAAGCTACACTTTTGATGTCTTAATAAGATAATTCTCTTATTAATTCCTCAAGAATGAATCATCATGCTGGTGCTTACTTGCTAATCACTCCCACTGCAAGTGGGAGCAGTTCAACAAACCATTTATCAGGATGTACAAAATCTGGCAGGAGCCCACTCTTTGGCTTGTTTCTCTCCCAACAAGCCAAACAAATAATCTAGGGTTTCTTTTAGAGCTAATTCTCTCGCTTGCTGAGAAGGAGACAAGATGGTCATTTTTCTGCCAGGGTAGCACACCATGATAAATAAACTGCAGTGCAGAACAAAGTGATCTGTTTAGACTCTCCTCCTGCAAACAGGAGTGATTGGGGTGGTGAGCCAGGTTTCCAATGGAACCTTTGCTTATCATGATGTTCCAACCAGGCCAAAATGAGGGGTGATAATATCCAAATTAAAAACAAACATACCAGCAAACACCAAATGTCCTGCCCTGGGTTTCGTGCCATACACATTGCAACTGCTGAAATGAAAGAATGGCAACAGCCCAAGAGTGGTATGATTAAACAGAACGAACCTAGTGGTTCTCTTCCAACACAGATCAGCTGCGTGTGTGTTACACAGCAAAAGATTTTTGGACAGACAGAAGCAGTTTCCAGATGTCATGAAAGTTTATGGCAAATACACAGTAAGTCTCTTGAGTACACCTGAAGACTTTCTCAAGGAATTACCTTTCACAGCCTTGAGGGCCTGTTAAAATTATGAGTTCCTGAGAGCTGTTATTCCCAGTGTCAAGTACTGCCAACACCTTAGTGCTGAAAGGAAGTACTGATGAATAATCATAAAAAGAAACAAAAGTGGCCTTGTTCATTCATATGGAAAAACACCCAAATCTAGTATCAGGCAGCATATTCATTAGAAGGAGCCAAAGTATCAAAAATATTTAGCAAGATATGGCCTCACATACTTTAGAGAGAAAAGTGGATCACTGACTTTTCTTGTCATCTTACAAACACAAAGCTCATTTTTTAGTTTTTGGAAAAATAAAGCACTTTTGAATCCATCTTTTTTTGTTCGATCAAAATAGACATTTAAATGTGGTTGGGGCTAGAATCTAACACCTGCCAGTTCTGTTCCACTGTACAGTTCCTTTAGGAATGTACGCATATATGTTTTCAATGTCTTTTGCTGTGTTAAGAATATCTCGATGAAATTATCACTGTGATTTAGCAAGGTCCCTGGCATTTATTCGCAGGTTGAAAACCTGTTGCTTTGTTACATGGGCAGAAAGCAAAAGGTGTAACATGAACTCGCTTCTAGCTAACAATTAAGGAGTAAAGGTAAAGGTTCCCCTTGACATTTTTTAGTCCAGTCGTGTCCAACTCTAGAGGGTGGCGCTCATTCCGCTTTTCAAACCGTAGAGCCAGCGCTTGTCTGAAGACAGTTTCTGTTACCACGTGGCCAGCGTGTTTAGGGAACGCCGTTTTACCTTCCCACCAAGATGGTACCTATTTATCTACTCGCATTCACATGCTTTTGAACTGCTAAGTTGGCGAGGAGCTGGGACAAAGCGACGGGAGCTCACTCTGTCACATGGCTTCAATCTTACGACTGCTGGTCTTCTGACCCTGCAGCACAGGCTTCTGCGGTTTAGCCCACAGCGTCACCACGTCCCAGCAATTAAGGAGTCATCCCTGCAATTTTCAGGGGGCCCATACACACACTGGCTTAGAGAAGACTTGCGAATCCCAGCAGGTGCTCATTACAGGCTAGAATCAATTGAGTGTTACGCCTTTGCCTTCTGCCTGCATAGCAAAGCAACATGACTTTAGCCACTGAGGCATATAAAGGAAAAATAATTCTTATCAAGGCAAAAGTAGCCTTGGGAAATGATAAACAGTTTACTTAGCTCCATTTTCTAAGCACAAAACTGATGCTGAAAACAATCTATCCATAGTGCTTCAAAATGCATATGCAGTAGCTAAACTGCAGTACTGCAGCCAAGCCTCTCTGCTCATTTCCTGAGTTTGATCCTGACGGGTTCAGGTAACCAGCTCAAGGCTGACTCAGCCTTCCATCCTTCCGACGTTGGTAATATGAGTACTCAGCTCACTGGGGGAGCAAACTGTTCTTTGGATAATTATGCTGTAAACCACCCAAAGAGTGCTCTAGCACTATGGGGTGATGTATAACAACAACCTACTAAGTAACTGCTTTATTTCTCCACGCCCCATGATCAGAAACAAAAGTCTAAAAGTAACTGCTTTATTTCTCCAGTATTGTTCACCACTTAATACATGACCAGTATTTTGGCAACACACTATTCCTGGATTAACTCTCCATTAATTTGATGTGATGTTTGCACTCTTCCTAGGTTGTATTTTATTACAGCAAGTGTGCGTGCGTGCGCGGGCGCACAAACACACACACACACACAATCCCAGCAAAAAAGGTATTCAAAGGCAGTTTGGACTGTCAAGACAACTTGTACACAAACAAGAAATAATACATAAACGGGCATGAAGTGAACAGACACTGGTGTACTCATAAATAATGGTGTATGATTAGAAATGGAGTTAATAGACATTTTAAAATCTCTCCTTTCTGGAAAATAATCACACATAATAATAATAATTACATGCTATCAAGTCAATTCTGACTTACGGTGACCCTTTCCAGGGATTTCTAGGAAGAGAATACACAGAACTAGTTTACGGGCATGAAGTGAACAGACACTGGTGTACTCATAAATAATGGTGTATGATTAGAAATGGAGTTAATAGACATTTTAAAATCTCTCCTTTCTGGAAAATAATCACACATAATAATAATAATTACATGCTATCAAGTCAATTCTGACTTGCGGTGACCCTTTCCAGGGTTTTCTAGGAAGAGAATACACAGAACTGGTTTACCCTTCTTCTGAGGGTGCAGCTTGCCCATGACCACGCAAGCTGGCTTTTCTCCCAGGAAGCAAAGTGAGGAACTGCACTCCCAACCTCTGGCTCCACAGCCAGATATCTAAACCACTGAGTTAGTACAGCCAGCTAACCACATATAAAACAAGCTATATACATAGTTATATGCAAGTACAACTCTACCTCCCTCTCAAATTGATCCAACTTGGAAACATCTTTAATAAGGTCTTACAGTCACAATACATTATCTGGGTTCTAGATCAGCATCAAATTAAAGGCTACCTAGTTTGTCTATCTGTTCTAAGCAGTACTGTGAGATTTATTTCAGAACTCTTAACATAAAAGGTTTTCCAGTTTTTCTGGTTGCTGCCTTAGTACGGAAGTCAATACAAGAATGTACTCATTGTCACCTGCAAATAAAAATTTATCTTGCTTCTTAATGAGTTATTTTGTAAAACTCTTACATGGCCAAGAGATGGTCATATCCTTAATTATAATTCAGTGGTCACTGTTTGTTATTATGCGACAAAAATGTAGGTTTTCTTTCTGACAAGAATGGTGAAAACGAGGCACAAGAAATGATTGGATATGAGATAAATGCTAAAAAACAAAACAGTAATTTGTGAAGGATTTGGTGACTTTTGTGTCATCTAATTATGCAGCAGCTCACACATACCTTTACTAGACAATTTTTATGCCCAGGAATACTTCCATGTACATATAAGAGGTTGTGCTTCGTGTTGACCCGCCACACCTGAAAAATTGCAATTACCAAAATGAAGCCAAAATATTTTACTGTAGTGTCTTCTTTGCTAAATATAGCCACAAAATGTTTCCAAAGATGATACTCTATGAAAAATTCCAAAGATGATACTCTATGAAAAACTTAGGAGAAATAAGAACTCTATAGCTCATTAACACAACAACATCAATAGATACAGTAAATTGCTCCTCAGTTTGTCAGACAGATTGAAATATGCTGGGGATTGAGGCACATTGATAGTTCAACTTGTGCCTCTAATGTGGCAGGCCCGCCACCTTAGGGATGTCATGTTTTCCCACCTTTGCACCACGGTGGCCATCTTGGTGAGTGCAATTAAGGGAAGGCCTCTCTCTTTCCTCTCAAACAATGCTGTAGTCACTTTGAGATGAAAAGTGGAAAGAGGTCCCGCATTAAGAGCAGCAGTCCCTTCCTTGAGCTTCTGAAGAGGAAAAAGGGTGTCTGCTACTGAGTGAAAGTAATTACACATGAAGAATCTACTTTATCAGCAGTGAGAATGTCCTGCATGTTGCTACACAGCCCTACCACTGGCCCACATGCATAATACTCACCTTTAGTCCTCTTTGTGTTCTGAACCAGTTACCCAACTGTCCTGGCATTTTCTTCCCCTTAAAGACCTTGGCAACCCCCTATGTCAACAACATCAAAGAACAGTTAGACCAGTGCCATGGAAGTGCTCCTCTATTTAACATTCTCAAGGGTAAAACAAGATTCGAAAGCTGAATACAAATTACATAGCAGCAAGTGTTGCATATTAGTTAAACTGGCAGTTCAGTGCAGACTTATATCTGTTTATTCAGAAATAAGCCCCATTATATTCAGTGGAGCTCAATACCAGATAAGTAGATTATAGGGATGCATCTTGTAGTAATTTCTTGGACGTACCATTCAATTCTTTTCTTCCCTTAGAAGTTTATTAAAAACTCTTGAGCAACAAAAAACAAAATATTTAAATATCCTAAGGTAATTCAGCTATTTGTCTGAAGAAGTGGATTTATCTATGAAAGCTCACATTAAAATATAACAGTTTTTAAGGTGCCACAATGTTTTTGTCTTCTTTATTAAAAATTGTTTTGTTTTTGCCTGACATGTTCTCTTCTAATCGTGTGGGAACCTGGTCTTCAGAGAATGAGTAACAGAGCAATTGTTTCTGTTAACACTTTTGCTTTACACAAAATACTATGTTGCTGTTATCAACAAGATAAATTCAAAGAAAAGATTACTCTTAAGTAGGGAAAGTGCTCTACCTGTTCAAGCTCCCTATCACCTAATAGCCAACCAGATTTATGCAGTCAATTGTTCTTGGAGAAAACTAAAATGTTCAATTTCTGTTATTTACCTCTAAATTATTAAGTTTACAATATATAGAAAATGCCTTTAAGGATGGCTTGAGACCAATTATGGACTAGGACAAAGGTAATGCATCAACTACAAAAAGAAGAATTGCTATACTCCACTGAGCCAATTTTGGTGGATTACAAAATTTACCAAAAGAGAGATCAAGACCATTTAGGGGAAAAAAAGACAACAAAGGAGAAAGTAAACATTGCTGTACTCCTTTGTTTAATTTAAATGAGTTTGTTCTTTCCTCCTTTAAACCACAGTGCATTTGGCCTGTGCAACCAAAATAAAGTCTTTGCATCAGGCCTAACAAGAATGTATCAATAGAATTCTCAATTTCCACCAAAGTTTACCATAATTACTTCAATCAAAGGCCCCTTTCAGGTCTCTAAAGGCCACAAAAAGGCATCTACCTGGGATAGCTGTATACTTTTCTGTTAAATGCTTCACACAAGGCAATGGTCACCGATTGAGCAATTTCTTCTAAAGCCAATTTGTTCTTGGTCTATGATATTCTTGGCCTCTAGCCATTCCTTCAGTAGAACTAATAGACCATTCTCTAGAAAGAGAGGAGACTAATTGGTTGACAGCGGTCTCTGGTCTTTTTAAAGTAATGGTACTATTGCGGCACATTTCCATATATCCATAATGGATCCTATGTCATTGACCCAACTGAATACTGGGCTGAGACTGATGCCCACTACCGATGATCAGCCCTAAATAATTCATTTGGAACCACATCTGGGCCTAATGTTTTTCCCTGGTACTAATGATTTCATTAGGTTCTATATAGGGGTTTCTTCTAGCAGAAATAGTTTTGCCCTTGCTTGGGTTGCTGCTTTTCAGAAAATAATTTCTTATCTATCCCAGGTTTGAGGGGAGATACAAAACAGATTAGAATAATGTGAACACAAAGAGAAATTTATTATAGATCAAAACATAGTATCATTTCCATTATTAATATTCATTATCACATGTTTCCAGACTTTATATGATTCTCTCCTGTTCCTTTCTTTAATTAGATAGTTATAGGCTGCTTTTAAACTCAACAATTCTCTTAAGGTCAATATTGTATTATTATGCCTAACATTCCATTCAATTCAATGGCAGTCATTACAATTTTCTGCATCTAGTTTCCCAACAGACTGCTTGATTTAGGATACTCTGGGATTGATTTGAATGTACTGGATTCACATCTAAACCCACTGGGGCAGATCCTATTTATTTTTTTAAATGTGCACAAGAGGAATTACAAAAGTCCACAGCTGTCAATAAACAAGCTCGTGGCCATATGTTGGTCATGTGTGCTTGCATCCTGTCAATAAGCCATAGCTCTTTCTGGAATTCCTCATGCAACGTGCATGAAAAACCAATAGAACTCTGCTCATTGAAATCAAGGAGACATATTGAAAAAAAGCAATAATAATGGTTAAAAATACTTACTGAAGTGGAAACCGATCCAGGTCGTCGGTGTGTCTTAGTCTGGCCATGGGTTGCAGGCTGGCCTTTGAATCCCCATCTTTTCATGACTCCTTGGAAGCCTTTGCCAATTCTAAAAGCAAATAAGCCAAATTAATTATATTTTGAAATAGTCATCAAGGAAAAAGGATACAGAACAGGGCTCCAAACAATGCCTGATGCCATTATACTTTGTTTGAAGAGTACACACAATTTGGTTGGACTGCAACTGCTAGAGATATCTGATCTGGCCACAGCAACACATGCCTTTGTTGTATCTTGTTTGAATTACTCTAACAGGTTCTAAGTAGTTTGACTTTGAAACCTGTTCAGAAACTTCAGCTGGTCTAAAATGCAGTGGCCAATCAGGCTATTTACTGGCACTACTCATACTAAACATGAAAGTCCCTTGTTACACCAACATGGCCTGGCTACCAGTCTGTTCCTAAGCAAAATTCAAAGTTCCAGTTACAATCATAAAGACTTGTATATAATTTGGATCCTGGTTATCTGGAGGACTGTATTTTTGCATATAAACCCACCCAGATTTTGAGATCTTTGTGGGAGGTTCAGCTTTCAGTCCTCTCACTGATGCATGTCCAGGGCAAATCTGAGAAAGAGCTTTCTTAATGGCTGCTCCCAGACTTTGGAACTCTGACCCAAAGGCAGGCCTTTGGTAATCAACCTTGCTTGTTGCAGAAGGGCCTTTTTTAAAAAAAACTGGTGCTTTATGCTGTGCTTTTAATATTTTATACTTCTATTCAAGCAGGCCTTTGGTAATCAACCTTGCTTGTTTGCAGAAGGGCCTTTAAAAAAAAACTGGTGCTTTATGCTGGTTTTTAAAATATTTTATGCTTCTATTCAATTTGTTTTAATTACATTTGTACAATTTCAATTGTATCTATACTATAATATGCTTCCAGTCCTATTTGTAGGAGAAGTATATAAAATAAATATTTATTTTGGCTCTGAGGAATATACCATATTTTTCGCACCATAAAAACCCACAAAACGGGGGGGTGGGGTGGAAAGACTGTGTCTTATGGAGCGAAGAACACAGATTATATTTTCCTCTTTTCTTCTCCTAAAAAATTGGTGCATCTTATGGAAAGGTGCGTCTTATGGAGCGAAAAATACGGTATATATCTTTCCAAATTATCCTCAGGAGTTTTAGAATATTGTTATTATTTTTGATTCACATATAGATTTCCTGCAGAAAAGGTTAATTTTGAAGTAACTACTCTAGCTGCATAGTAAGGAAAGCAGAATGTAGTCATCCAACATATACCATAGCTTTATCAATTAAGGGTCTATATCATTAAAACCTCATATGTATTGCTTGTAAATAAGAAACAAGAAATATTATAGAACAAGAGGGCACTTCACAATGCTCATCTTGGAACTGACAGAAGCATGAGAGCAAGAGATTCTTAACTCTGAGCCTCAAAGACCATCAGCAAAAGCAGTCTTCAGAAACTCTCATCTGCTAGATCTCAAAACTGTTCCAGTGTTTTTACTTCCCTATGTGTTTTGGAGTTATTTGTATGAAACAATTTAAACTTGCCTATCCCTAAGATGTTCCCAAACTGGGAATACTTGTCAAATGACAATCATAAGATCAAGAAACAGTGAAGATAAGCAAAAATAAAAAATAAAATAAAATAAAGGCAATGAACACCAAATCAAATAATTTCAAAGACTAGGATAAAATAGTAAATTCTAAGTAGCATATTCAGTGGCTGCATGCAAATCAGGAAGAAAAATAATTGAATATTCTCCAGGGTATACCATTCGACTCCCATATCAACAGAGCAGCAGAAGAGGCAGAGATCATTGAAAGAGGGTTAAAGCAATTGGAAATAAGTACATAAGCACTTGTTGTTTAGTCGTTAAGTCGTGTCCGACTCTTCGTGACCCCATGGACCAGAGCACATCAGGCCCTTCTGTCTTCCACTGCCTCCCGGAGTTGGATCAAATTCATATTGGTAGCCTCGATGACACTGTCCAACCATCTCGTCCTCTGTCGTCCCCTTCTCCTCTTGCCTTCACATTTTCCCAACATTAGGGGATTTTCCATGGAATCTTCTCTTCTCATGAGATGGCCAAAATATTGGAGCCTCAGCTTTGGGATCTGTCCTTCCAGTGAGCACTAAGGGTTGATTTCCTTCAGAGCAGATATGTTTGATCTCCTTGCAGTCCAGGGGACTCTCAAGAAATTCCTCCTGCACCACAATTCAAAAGCATCAATTCTTCGGCAGTCAGCTTTCTTTATGGTCCAGCTCTCACTTCCATACATCGCTAGTGGAAAAACCATAGCTTTGACTATGCAGACCTTTGTCGGCAAGGTGATGTCTCTGCTTTTTAAGATACTGTCTAGGTTTGTCATCGCTTACCTCTCAAGAAGCAGGTGTCTTTTAATTTTGTGGCTGCTGTCACCATCTGCAGTTATCATGGAGCCCAAAAAAGTAAAATCTCTCATTCCCTCCATATCTTCCCCTTCTATTTTGCATGAGGTGATGGGACCAGTGGCCACGATCTTAGTTTTTTTGATGTTGAGTCTCAGGCAGTTTTTTGCACTCTCCTCTTTCACCCTCATTAAGTGGTTCTTTAATTCCTCCTCACTTTCTGCCATCAGAGTAATATCATCTGCATATCGGAGGTTGTTGATATTTCTTCTGGCAATCTTAATTCCAGTTTGGGATTCCTCCAATCCAGCCTTTTGCATGATGTATTCTGCATATAAGTTAAATAAGCAGGGAAACAATATACAGCCTTGTCGCACTCCTTTCCCAAATTTGAACCAAGCAAACTGTTGCTTCCTGTCCCACATATAGATTTCTCAGGAGGTAGATAAGGTGATCAGGCACTCCCATTTCTTTAAGGACTTGCCATAGTTTGCTGTGGTCGACACAATCAAAGGCTTCTGCATAGTCAATGAAGCAGAAGTAGATGTTTTTCTGGAACTCTCTGGCTTCCTCCATAATCCAGCGCATGTTAGCCATTTGGTCTCTAGTTCCTCTGTTTTCTTCCCCCTGTTCTGTCTCAGCGGGGGTCTGAAAGGACTAGGGGGCGCTAATTTGGTGGGAAAAGGAGAGGATAGAAAGGAGGGGAAGGAGGAGGAGGGGGAGAGCAGTCTGCAAGAGGAAAAGAGAGAGGTGTTTTGGGTTGAGGAGGATATTACAGAACAAAGAGAAGACTTAGTAGATTTGATACAAGAAGATCCCTGGACAGGGGGATGGGTAGAGCTTCAAATACCAGAGAATATGCAGAGAAAGAATGGAGAAGACAAACCTATAGAAAACCACCATATTGTGGTGAGAGAAAGAATATAAAGCTTGGGTAAGGGGGGAAGAACAAATCAAAGCAGAGAGGAGATGTATTTAGCCAAATGGGAGATCCCGTCGGCTCAGGCCTTTCAGACCCCTGCTGAGACAGAACAGGCAGAAGAATGTCTGGGAGCCGCAGGTGGTACCATCCACAACCATAGCCCTGACAGACAATATGCCAGACACCTCGGGCACTAGGCAGAAATGGACACCTAGAGTTAAGAGTTCATCTTCTATTTTGTTGCAAGGAGAGTTACCTGGTCTGATGGAAGCTAAGAAGTATGAATTGTTGTTAAAAGCGGAACCAGATAATGTGAACATGTTTGAGACTGGTAAATTGTTAGATAATAAACCTGTTTTGTTGGAAGATTTTGGACTACTGTTGCCTCCTTTACAGACAAATGCATTGAAAGGAGTAAAGGACTTCAACTATGATCGTTGTTGTTGTTTATTTAAGTCCAACTCCTCGTGACCCCATGGACCAGAGCGTGGCGGGCCCTCCTATCTTCCACTGCCTCCTGGAGTTTGGTCAAATTCATGTTGGTTGCTTCAATAACACTGTCCAACAATCTCATCCTCTGTCGTCCCCTTCTCCTCTTGCCATCACTTTCCTAACATCAAGGTCTTTTCCAAGGAGTCTTCTCTTCTCATGAGATGGCCAAAGTACTGGAGCCTCAGCTTCAGGATCTCTCCTTCCAGTGAGCACTCAGGGTTGATTTCCTTCAGAATTGATAGGTTTGTTCTCCTTGCAGTCCAGGGGACTCTCAAGAGCCTCCTCCAGCACCACAATTCAAAGGCATCAATACTTTGGCGGTCATGACCAGTGGCCATGATCTTAGTTTTTTTGATGTTGAGTTTCAGACTGTTTTTTGCACTCTCCTCTTTCACCCTCATTACAAGGTTCTTTAATTCCTCCTCAATTCCTGCCATCAGAGTGGTATCATCTGCATATCAGAGGTTGTTGATATTTCTTCCGCCAATCTTAATTCCGTTTTGGGATTCCTGCAGTCCAGCCTTCCACATGATGTATTCTGCATGTAAGTTAAAGAAGCCAGGGGACAATATACAGCCTTGTTGTACTCCTTTCCCAATTTTGAACCAATCAGTTGTTCCATATCCAGTTCTAACTGTTGCTTCCGGTCCCACATATAGGTTTCTCAGGAGATAGATAAGGTGGTCAGGCACTCCCATTTCTTTAAGGACTTGCCATAGTTTGTTGTGGTCCACACAGTCAAAGGCTTTTGCGTAGTCAATGAAGCAGAAGTAGATATTTTTCTGGAACTCTCTGGCTTTCTCCCTGATCTAGCGCATGTTAGCAATTTGGTCTCTAGTTCCTCTGCCCCTTCGAAATCCAGCTTGTGCTTCTGGGATCACAGCCACAACTATGATCACAGCCACATAAATGTGAAGTCATATTCACTTGCTGAAAACAAGATCATTTAGTGTAGAAAATATTTAGAGGTGAGTGGCAAGTAAACTAAATATATTTTGCCATCACACTAATACCGATAATTTTTATTTATCCAATAGTAATTGAATGTTTTCATCACAACAGAGATAATTTTATTATATTTTTAAGAAGAATTATGTTCAGTGGGATGCTGAAACAAAGTAACCAGATTTGTTCCTGTAGCACTGACCACATATCAGAAGTTGGGATGTCACTAATGCAAAAGACCGGAGTTTGTGGGGTGGGAAAGGTTGGTCTATAGTCACAAATGCATGATCTGAAGGAGCCAAACGTCAAAGGCAATAGCCCTGTTCAACTTTAATCAACCAGAGTAATCCCTGGTACCACAAGACTAAGTGTTCACTTCAATATTTCATCTGGACGCTCTTTTAAAAAGAAAAAGAAAAAAAAAGAGAGAAAGAAGATGAAGAAATGGGAATTATCCACACAGCCACAACTAGTACTTTCTAAGGAATAAAAATCGAAAAGCAATTTCATTGCTACGAATTATATGCTTGTAAGAGACAGTGCTCTGGGCACAGTTCCCCCTTCCCCCCTTGCTGCTTCAAGCTTTTGCAAGATCCAAATATACTGCTAGGGAAATTTTCAGGGTGTAATACACTATAAACAGCAGGTTATTACTGGACAGACACGCATTAAATACAATAAATTCACATCCTGTATTCGTATGTCCTTCAAGCTCTCTTGCAGTATGAAGAACTTAAAAAGACAGAAAGCAGAAGGAGGAAGAAATACAAGTGCAGATCTTTATGCCTTTTCAGATGATACTTTCCCACCGCCTACACACAAACTTTAAGACTGGGAATAAAATCTGGCCTTGTGCTCTTCAACACACATACACCCAACATCACAGACAGACAGACAGACAGACAGACAGACAGACAGACATGCTCCAACGGATTAATCCCTCATTAATTTGTATGGGGACTCTGACCCTGTGGCACAGAACATGAGGCTGGATCTACTCTAAAAATTAAGCTTAAAGGTACTGAACTTTGATCAGCCTCCTGCCTCAGCTGCTTCCGTTAAACTCAATTTTAAAACTCTTCAAAACAAATTACAATTTTTACTGGCAAAACTAAGATATAGGAAGGTTTACTTAACTAAAAAAAGGTCCTACATGATTCATTAAAAGCTACATCCACTTGTTTGGCATGTGATGATTTATACTGCACAGTACTAACATATTCTGCTTTGGAGAAGCACAGGGACAAAGTTGTTGCTCTTACTGTTTGAGATGGTCAAATAAGATGGTGTGTGCATACTATCATCTATAAAAATAACTGAAAGAAGGTTGGAATTTAGTAGTGGGTGAATATTTGTATCTGAACTGTTGCTCCAAAACTATGAAGCCTAAAGACTTCAAACTTGCTACATACTGTAACAGGATTCTAGATGATTACTTGATTTTCATAACATCTTATTTATCATATTTTTCTATGTACAGGATGATACTTTTTCTTAAAATAGTTAAAGCAAAAACTGAGGGTCATCTTATACACAGAAGTAAGCTGAATCGCTGGCAGGCAGAGCCCTCTCTGTGGGCACGTGAGCCATGCCAATGCTGCTGCCCATGCCAGTCCGGTACAGGGCGCAGCAGCGCTTGCTGCCAGGGCTCAGCTCAAGCTCATGCAGACATCTTGTCCCCTGCCCAAAGGGAGCCCGCCAGCGGCGCCAGAGGAGGTGATTGGGCGGCGGCGGCAAGAGCAGCAGGCAAAGGAGGAGCTGCGCTTGGCCGCCCCTTGGCGACTGCCCATTGACTGTGATTCCAGCACTGCAGGAGAGTGAGCGAGCGGGGCGGAGCGCAACGCAGCACAGGAAGCCCAGGCAAAGGGGCTGCCTATATTTGGGGAGGGGGAAGGCGACCCCTGGATGGTCCTCTGGAGGATACAGTGGCTCGGAGGGTGCCCGCTGATTTTGGCACTCGGGTTCAAAATGGGGGGGGGCGTCTTATACATCGAAAATACAATAATTATAATGTTTCTGCATATTTCAAGTTTGTAGTACCATCTTCAGTCACTAGCTGGCAAATTTCCCTAACCTGTCTATCTCCCCTTAGTTCAGCTTAAAAGTAGATGTGAGGCAACTGTACTCCAAGCGGCAGTATTAGAGACCTTCCTCCTCTTTGAGGCAGCTTATTAGGCAGCCCCCACCCTCAGAGGTTTCCACAGTAACAGACATGCTAAGGGGCCTCAGTGGCTATGCCTCTGCTCAGATGACACAGGAAACAATGGCCAAAAGTCTATTGATGGTTTGTTTATGGGTAAGCAAAACCATGGCAGTTGTGGTGGCTAACTGAAGCCAATTAACAAGCCAGTTGCATGCCTGTATGTATGAACAGGCAAGGACACCATATATCACTAATTAGTTTCAATTAAGCACTGTGACTTCTATAATTTTGCTTACACATTAAAAAAAGAGAAAAGGATTCTAATCAATGTATCTACCTAACAGAAATATATACCTTTGGTAGAAAACTCTTCTGCACCAAATTAAGTTATTTCACCCTGTGCAAATTCAGGTACTTTAGTTATTTTTAAAAGTAGAACAATAAAAGTTTACAGACTGGATTTGTATATACTGCAGACGACTGCAAAAACAGTCATGGCCTTCCTTTTGAATCCAATACAACTGTGTCACTTTTCTATTACGAATGAGAAGTGCTTCAGTGAAACATGGAGACATCTTAGGCTCTTCCCACATATTCCCCCATGCTCATCTCTCTTACATAAATATTGGCTTTATGTAGTGAGACTGCAACTCCCATAATCCCTCACCACTGGCTATGTTGGAAAGGATGATGGGAGTTAAAATCCAACAGCATGTCTGGTCTAACTGTTTCATCAGCTCCCAACAACCACCACAGCCTGGCTGGGACTCCATTTTTGAAAAGCTTTCTGTTTTGTAGTTTGACTATTTTATTTCCATACAATTAGTATTACTCTTTATTTTTATATTGTTATGCAAATCATTTGGTGAGGTTTGCAGAAAAGCTGTAAATAAGTGCTTTAAATAAAAAGTACTACCACACCTCAACCTGGCAACACATTCTGGAGTTCACAAACTGCTTGGCCAAGAAGTAATTCAATACTAGCGAATTTGAACTATCTTCTTCTCCTTCCAGGCTACATCTCTTCCTGCTACTAAAAATCTGCTCCCATTTTCCAGAAGAGATATTTAGAGTAAAAAGGAGGACTGCAGGCCAGGGGTGGGCTGCCATTTTTAGAAAAGGGAGGAAGGATCCAGCAGAAGTACCGTACATCTCTGGATTGTTTTTCTAATATAGGAATAACTATAGATCGGAACTTACGTTTTTGCTGTAACATCCACATACTGTCCAGGACGGAAGTGAGCTGCATACAGGGGAGTACCTAATATAGTGGGAGCAGAGGAGAGAATATAATTACAGTAAGCAAATGGAATTTTGTATAGCACTGAGAACAATGTGCCAATTTAAACCTCTGATTTATGTATTAATTTATTTGAAATATTTTTAACCTGCCTTTCTCTTAAAAAGGACCCAAGGCAGATTACATGATTAAAAGACAATATTAATAGCTAAAAACAATGAGTATGCAAAGGCAGCTTATATCATTAAAATAAGATAATTAAAGCTATTATGATTAAGTATACAAATAATAAAAAAGGTGACAAATACCACTCTGAAAAATGATAAACAAAAGCAATATTAAAAACACAGTCAAAGCAGTAAGGCATAACAATCCATTTAAAAATCACACACAGGTAGTGAATCATTAAGGAAAAGCTTGCCTGAAGAGAAAGGGATTTGCCTGTTTACAGAAGGGTAGCAAAGATGGGGCCAGTATGGCTTCCTGTGGGAGGAAGTTCCAAAGCCTGGGAGCAGAAACAGAGAAGGCCCTCTCCCTGGTCCCCACCAAACTCGCTTGTGCAGATGGTGGAATAGAGGGAAAGGCCTCTCCTGATGATCTTAACACTGAAGCAGTCTTATAAGGGGAGACATAGTCCTTGAGATAGCTTAAGCCAAAGTCATTTGGGGCTTTATAGGCCAAAACCAGCACTTTGAATTGTGACCAGAAACACACTGGCAGCCAGTGGTGCTATTGTAACAGATGGTATATGTTAGCAATCTGGCTGCCATGTTTTCCACCTGCTGAAGTTTCTTGACACTTCCCACATGAGTGTGCATTATAATAATCCAGCCAAGATGTAACTATGTCACCATGACCAGATCAGACGTCTCCAGGAACGGGCACTCATTTTAACTGTGCAAAGGTACTCCTGGTTACCATCAAAACTATAAGAATCCAGCCAAGATGTAACTATGTCACCATGACTAGATCAGACGTCTCCAGGAACGGGCACAGACGGTGCACTCATTTTAACTGGACATCCAGGCTGAGACAAATCCAGGAGCACCAACACACACACACACACACAAGCTGTGCACCTATATTTTCAGAGGGCGTGTAGCCCCATCCATCACAAGTTGAATCCCCATTCCTTAACAGCCAAGATGTAACTATGTCACCATGACTAGATCAGACGTCTCCAGGAACGGGCACAGACGGTGCACTCATTTTAACTGGACATCCAGGCTGAGACAAATCCAGGAGCACCAACACACACACACACACACAAGCTGTGCACCTATATTTTCAGAGGGCGTGTAGCCCCATCCATCACAAGTTGAATCCCCATTCCTTAATCTACCTTTGAACTGAACAGGTGCACTGCTGCCTTTTCTAGATTAAGTTTCAGTGTATTCACCCTCATCCCATCCATTACTGATACCAGACATTGATCTGGACCAAAACAGCTTATTGGATTTAGATGGTGAGGAGAGATAGAGTTGGGTGTCATCCGCATACTGGTGACACCAAACCCCAAAACTTCAGAAAACCTCTCCCAATAGTATCATGCAGGATAACACGGGAGACAAAACAGAACCCTGAGTGGCCCTCCAGGCCAGTGGTCAGGGTGTCGGACAGGAATCCTCCAGCATTATTTTCTGAGTTCTCTCCTTCAGGAAGGACTGGAGCCACCATAAAAGAGTGGCTTCAAGACCCATCCCGGAGAGACAGGCCAGAAGGGTATAGGTGTCGGACAGGAATCCTCCAGCATTATTTTCTGAGTTCTCTCCTCCAGGAAGGACTGGAGCCACCATAAAGGAGTGGCTTCAAGACCCATCCCGGAGAGATAGGCCAGAAGGGTATAGAAAGCCACTGACAGGTCCAGCAGAACCAACTGGAACATATTCTTCCTATGCAGTTCCCAGCGTAAGTCATCCACTAAGGTGACTAGAGAAGTCTTCGACAGGTCCAGCAGAACCAACTGGAACATACTCTTCCTATGCAGTTCCCAGCGTAGGTCATCCACTAAGGTGACTAGAGCAGTCTTCGTCCCATAACCAGGCCTGAAGCTGGATTGAAATCCATCTCATCCAGGAACTCCTGGAATTTAGAAGTACCTTGCCCAAGAATGGAATATTAGATACTGGTTGGTAATTACTCAGTAATGTGGGATTCCAAAGAGAGCTTTTTCAACAATGGCCTTTACAACTGTCTCCTTTAAGTATGATGGGATTCTACCCTGTTGCAAGGAGGTGTTTACCACTCCTCCTACCCACTCAACTGGTCTGTTTTTAGCAGCTTTTATAAGCCAAAAAGAGCAAGGATCCAGCAGACATGTAGTAGCTTTCACATCTCTACAGGTTCTGTGCACATTATCAGATTGCAAGAACTGAAACTCATTCATAAACATGGAGAAATCAGAGGTCAAAGTTACATTCACAGGATCTGTATCAACTACAACAGACCTGGGCAAAGTGCGGCCCGAGGGCCACATATGGCCCGCGAGCCACTCCTACCCGGCCCGCGGACAGTTTTGAACATCAAAACCATTTATAGCTTTTTGTCTAAAGTTGATCAGTTGCTTATCTTTAACATACCGCAAAAATCCTCTTTAGTATTTGTGAAGATTAACAAGTTTAAAATAAAAACAATAATAACATCACTGTTTCATTTTATTTTTAAGTAAAGTTGGTTTGGCCCTTGAACACAGTTCAGATTTTTCATGTGGCCCCCCTATAGAAATTAATTGCCCACCCCTGAACTACAGCAACCAAGTCAGAGCGGATCTGAGCAATTTTGCCTGCGAAGTGTTGTGCAAATTCTTCACATCGAGTTGCAGCGTAGTCTGCATTCTCTTCTTGTGGGCTAAGGCGAAATAGGCCCTGGACCACTCAAAATAGCTCCACTGGACAACTCTGTGCAGACTTAATGGTGGCAGAGAAGAATGACTTCTTCGCAGCTACTACTACCACAGAATAGGCCTTCCAATGAGCCCTACCCTGTATTTAGTTGGAGTCACTCCAACTTTTCTGCCATTGTCACTCTAGTCTGCCTAATGCCTGATATTTTATTGTACACTGGCACTCTGTAAGCAAGGAGGGAAGCAGAAAGAGAAGACACCCACTTCTTTTTTTTAATTTTAATTTTTAACAAGGGGTGACAAAAAGGGAAAAGGGAGTTGAGGTTAAGAGGGAAGAGGAGAAACAATAACATACTAACATCCATTCAATACATATTGCCATATCAAAATTCCAATTACTCTTTTTACTATTTTCTGCCTTCCAGGTTTAAGTTCTCATTTCAATGTATGCTCTTTATACACTGTCTGTTAACTTAATCCATTTATAGAATAAGTCCCATCTTTCAGTTGCCTTTTGTAAAGACAGTCCTTCATCACTTCTGATAAAATGTCCATTTCCGCTGTTCCCCGTATCTTCTCTATGAGATCTTCTTGTTTCGGCACCGTCGGACTTTTCCAATTTTTGGCATAAAGAATTTTGGCCGCAGTACCTATGTATATAACTATATACTCGTTTGTCTTATCTATGTTATCAGGCATCATCCTCAATAAAAACATTTCTGGGGTTAATCGCACCTCACAAAGCAATACTTGTTGCAATACAGAATGTACTCTTTTCCAATACAGTTTTGCTACTCTACATGACCACCACACGCCCAGAGTGGTCGACCAGACCAGATGGGCGGGATATAAATAAATAAATAAATATGATAATAGCTTCCAAAATGTGCTTCACATTTCCAACACACATCTGATACATCTGTACACATCTTCGACATTTTTTCTGGAGTCAAATGCCACCTATAAAACATCTTGTATATACCGTATTTTTCACTCCATAAGACACACTCCCCCCCCAAAAAAAGTGGGGGGGAAGCATGTGCGTTTTATGGAGCAAATACAGTAAAAAAAGGGTTCAGCCACCACCACCCAGAAGCCTCCCACTGCCATGCTGGGAGGCCTCTGAACTGGCACCAGAGACTGGTTGCTGTTTGGACCTCACCATTCTGCATTGCTGGCTTCCCAGGATCTGCTTCCTGCAGCCCACCTGGAAAACCAGCAAGACTAACAGGTCTGTGGCAGCAGGAAGTGAAAACAGGCAAGGACCAAAGGGGAAAGATTAATTCTAGAAAGATCAGGGGAAACCACAAACGTAGTTCCCACTTAGTCAGTTGATTTTCCCACATTTGGGGAAATCACAGGGGTCAACACATTCAAAGTGCAATAGATGAGCCTTACCCTGGGAAAACCACATCTACAATAATGGTATCTCCCCTGCCA